TAAGTGAGCAAGAGAAAGGGGAAAGTATCTTGGAACGCTTACATAATTGATACTACATAAGCTAGGATCGGAATTCGTTTGGAGCTATGCTAAATCTTAAGGAATTTTATATAATATAGCAGGTATTATATAAATTTCCAAATATATTATATGACTATTTATAAAAATAATATTATTTTGAATTTTAATGATATTGAATCAATAAATATTGAAGATGTTAAATATTGTTGGAAATGTAAAATATACAAAGACAAAGAAGATTTTAAAAGTTTGTATGAAGATAAGAAATATAATAAAACTTGCCGTAATTGTCTGAAATATTATTATAAATGTATTTCTAAAAAATAACTTAAAAAATCGTAATAAAGATTTAAAATATTTAGTATATTATATAATGACCGAGAGCAAAAGTAAAAAAACAGTTTGGAATAAACAAGATGAGAGCAGGTATAATTCATTATATAATAAATTAAAAGCATCAGGTGACGATATTAATAAAGAAGATTATCTTAAAAAATACAATAAATCAAAATTACAAAAAATTATTAATAAATTAGAATTATCAACATCAACTAAAGAAGGCTTTTATTTTATGGTTTCTAAATGGTTAAAATTAAATGATCCAACAAATACAATGATAAGTAATTTTACGAGTAAAGGTTATGATCTAATGATGAAACGAAGTAAAGAATATGATGAAAATGAACTAAGTGAAAAGAAACAAAAGAATTACAGAGATTATTCATATTTTGTTGATATTTTAAATCAAATTAATTATAAAGAAATTAAAACATACAGAAGCCATTTACAATATTTATTGTTAAGTTTATTAATAAAACAACCACCTGTAAGAACATCATTTTATACCAGCGCCGAATTTCATACAAAAGGCGGTTATGATGAGAAGAAAAATTATATTATGTTAATGACAACAGGAACGGGTAAGCGTCGTGTAATGTATTATGTCGGAAAAGATAAGGTTACAGGCTCAAAATCGTTTTCAGATATACTTAAAAATAATATTGAAGTTGAAGATAAAGAACTTATTGAATTAATGTATTATTCATTTGAAAAATATCCAAGAACATATGTACTTGAAAACCGAGGAAAGCCAATACAAGATGAAACATTATTAAGGTATTTACGAGAAATAACAAAGGTTGATAATATTGATATTGATACAATGAGATCAGTTTATATTAGTCATTTTTATAATAATTTTAATATGAAATATGCAGAAAAAAGGGAACTTGCTAGAAAAATGAGACATGATCCACAAACAGCACAGCAGAAGTATTTATTAGTATTATCAAAAACGAAAACGGACAAAGCAAAAGATGATCGGATAAAAGAACTTGAAAAAATGAACAAAGAATTAAATGATAAAGTAGCACAATTAGAAAAACAATTAGAAGATACTGAAATTAAATTAAGAGATACAAAAGGTGAAGCGTCGCAATCTTCAGAATGGAAGAAGAAAAGATACGATATTATTTACAGGTTAAACAAGGGTATTAATAAAAATGTCAAAGAAAAGACACTTGAAAAATATGATATACAATATAATAGTGATAAGAATGAATATTATTAATCTAATATTATAATATATGGTTAAAATTAAATGTAATCAATGTGGAGGAGAATATGAACAAGGTCAATCATATGAAAAGGCAAGAATGAAACATATAAATTCAAAAAGACATCAAAAATATTTAGAAGATCGTCATGACAAAAATCCTAAATTTTGGGACAGGTATATGAAAAGAATGTGAAGAAAGCAAAGGAACTAGGATATACAAAATAAATATTGTCTTAATATGTTATAAAAGAAATATATTAAGATAATATAATAATGAGTAATCTTATTGGATATTTTACACAAGACCTAAAACAATATTTAAAACATCAAAACCCAGAAAGAGATCCATTATATTGGAAAACAAAAGATAATGAAAAATTACCTATTGAAGCAATTGAAAAAGTTTTTAACGCTAAATTTTGCTATGGATGTAAGGAATGGAGATACAAAGAACAATTTAATATTCTTGATCCAAATACTGATGAAAATGAATTACATAAAGGGGTATCAAGAAGATGTAATATATGTATAAATAAAAAAAGAAAGAAAGAAGAAGAGAGAGAGATGCGAATAAATTACTATATGACTAGGATGAGTATTTATAATAAATTAATCAATGATGAAACATTCAAGCCTGACTCTAAACTTCTCCAGCGGTTTAAAATAGGATATGATAGACAAGACAAATTATATTATTTAGAAGATTAAAAAAAACAAATAATACCATAATAATATCAATAAAATATTATTATGATATCTACAAATTTGTTTCAGTGCTTGTTTTTGCCTTTAGATAACCCTCTAAATCATTTAATGAACCTTGTATAATTTTCAGATATTCATCATCCCAATACGATGTGTTATTTTTCTCTTTCATTTTTATCAGTATCTCTTCGTGTCTTTTTAATATTACATGTTTCTTCATTCCATATTCAACACATAAGCCATCTAGTTCTTTTTCAAATACCTCTTCATATTTGCTTTTACCAATGTCTTTGCCTGTTACAACTTCCTTCATGAGTTTCATAATATATATATAATACTATGTATTTTTTCTTTAATACCTTTTTAATACGAAATAATATTACCAAAATATCTTATTAAATATTTCTTAAAAATGACTTAAAATAATGTAATATTACTATATATATGAAAAAAATCAAAAAACTAAAATCACAAGGTGCATCGGTTGAATGGTATGATGAAACTGAAGAAGGAGTTACGATAATTAAAATTGAATGCTTGAAAAGTGGAGATACAGAAACAGTTTATGGAGATGGCTCACCATCCAAAAGGCGAGGTTTAGCAATGCTTACTGAAAATTGTTCATGCGGTGCTAAATGGCATTTTATTACCGAAGACACCACATAAAAACACAAATAAAATATACATTTTTATAATAAAACCAACATTATTATAAATTTGTTTAAGAGTAATAATATAATAATATAACATAAATATCCTTATGCCAGAAGTCTAAAAAAAAAACATATTTTTTCCAGATTATTTAGAGAAAAATGAATAAACATAATATTTCGTCATAAAACCAGATAATTTTTCAAAAATTTAGGAAAATTTATTTTTCAAAATTTAATTTCAAAATATTATATTTTTAAAATATCAAAATTTTTACGGTTTTTAGGCATAAATATTATACTTATTCATTTTAGGTCAAAAATGTTCGGCATTTATCCGGCATTGTGCCAGATAATATATTATTATGTTAAAAAGGTCTTAAAGAAATAATAACATATATTAGTAATAAAAATGGAAATTGTTAATAAATATTATGATGAATTAAATAAGTTATTGAGAGGCAACGGCGAGAAATTAGCGGATATATTAGTAAAGAGAGCTCAACACAAACATTTATTAGAAAAATATAATAATACATTAAATGAAAATGATAAAAATATTATTGATAATCATATGAATGAAATTGAAGATGAATTTAATAAAATTAATAATGATATTGAGAATGTAAAAAATCTTATTAATGATTTAGAAGAGTTTTTTTAATATTGAACATGACGACGATAGAATGAAAGCAATATTTCACGGCGATATAAATGATGAAGAAGATGAAGACGATGAAGAAGATGAAGAAGAAGATGAAGAAGAAGATATTAATGAAAATATTAAAAATGAATGGAAATTAAAAATGTCAATGATGAAAGCAGAACACAAAGAAGAAGAAACACAAAGCGAAACACCAAGCGAAGAATTAAAAAACCCAACAGAATTCAAAAATATGGATCCAGTATTTAAAAATTTCATTAATTCTACATATATTGCAACAAACAATAAAAATGACAAAATTAAACCCCGAGAAATTAAAGAAGATTTTAATAAATATATTGAAGAAAATAATTTAATTAATAATAAAATCACAACATTTAAAGTAAATGAGCTAATGGAATATTTAGGATTTCAACGAGATAAATCAAATGTAGAAATATACAGATATATTAAAAAATTACCATAAAATTTCACGGCAAAATAATATTTTAAATAAGATGACAATATTTATAATTATAAAATGATAAATTTATATTTACAAAATTCAATAAGATTAATAGTTCAAAATTATAAAATTATTTTTTGGAAAATTTCTTGATATATATACAGAAAAAGTTAATATTTCTCGCCAAAATAATTTTATTCAGTTTATTCAAAAATATTTAGGGCAAAATATTAAAATATTCAGGGCAAAATATTTTTTTATTACACTTATTCAAAAAATAATATTCTCGCGTGGAATTTTTTGTTGATACTTATTGAAAAAATATTTAGGGCAAAATATTAAAATAATTTAGTGAAAAATAATTTGAGTACACTTATTGAAAAATAAAATTATTCGGGCGAAATCAAAAAATGGACAAGGTGAAAAACTTTTTTTACTAATTTTTTGATAATAAAGGTATACCTAAACCCTAAGAGCCCTAAACACCCTAGAGCCTTGAAAGCCCCAAAGCCCTACTCACCCTGCGTCGCACCACCGAGCGGCCGTAGCCACCGTAGCCGCCCTTGCCACCTCCGTAGCCGCCATCTGGCAGACGAAGCAGAGCTGAGGGGAGGGAGAGGGGGTTTAGGGTTTAGGGTTTAGGGTTTAGGGTTTAGGGTTTAGGGTTTAGGGTTTGGGGCTTAGGGTTGAGGGGTCTATAGGGTTGAGGGTGGCTTAGGGAGGGCTAAGGGGCTTAGGCTCTCCTCTCCCCATTGCCTCTCATCTTCTCTTCTCCTCATCCTTGCTACCTCCTCCTCTCCTTTCAGGTGAGCGGCAGATCCCCAGCGCGCTTTTTCAGATTGCCGTGCGGCCAGTCTTCACCTTTGGAAGCAGGGTTTCGGGGTTTGGGGTTTAGGGTTTAGGGTTTAAGGTTCGCAGATTCTTGAGAGCATGCCGAAGGCGCAGATTGGAATCAGCTCACTCGCGCTTCAGATTCTTGCTGATGGCTGCTGCGATTTCTTCGGCAGTCTGGCTACGACAGTCCAGACATTTCATTTTCACACCATCACTCTTAGGGCCAATGGCAATGGCGATGATGGCAGGTCCATTTCCTGATGGGTCTCTGGAATTTCGTCCGGTGCCCCATGCAGGAATTGGCGGATAGATGTTTTCGACCCTGAGGGGCCAGACACAGACCTTGTTCTCATAGGCAAAGTCCAGCTCGAAATATGTGTTGTGGGGTCTACCATCGAACGCTGCATAGTTGCTGGTGCACACAGCCAGCAGAACGCCTTCTTCCTCCTTGATCTTGCTCAACCGCTTCTCTATCATCTCCCCATCGTCAGCTGCATCCCTAATGAGCACATCACAGCCTTGCTCCTTTAAGATCTCGTACACCTCTCGCATCTGTGCTTCATACTCACTCCCCAAGTCCAGTGAGAACATGGCACAGGAAAAGCGCGATGTAGGCGCTGGAGCTGGAGTCGCTGGAGCGGATGGAGGACTTGTTGAAGGCACCACGGCATCCGAGCCCTTTGTCTCGGAAGCCGAGGCGCCACATCCCATGGTGCCAAGTGCTCGGCCACTTCGGAGCCGAGATTGGACTTTCGAGCGTGGGGTGTTGAGTGTACTTGCTGTGGGTTAACACTAGTAGGGAATGAGGGAACGAGGTACCCCATAGAATACCTTGAGGGGTATATCTAGGGGGATATAGGGTACCTCATTCCCTCATTCCCTACTAGCAGTAAGTGTAAGTGCAAGGTTGGGGAATTGGGGTTTGGAGTCGGGAGTTTGGGGTTTTAAGCTTCCGCCTGCTTTGGCAGCTCCCTGGTTGAGAGGGCTTGTGGGATGTTGTTTAGGGATTAGGGGGGTGGTAGCGCTTTAGGGTGTTCAGGGCTTTTCGGCCTGGCAGAGCTTTAAAGGGGGGCTTTCGGGTTTAGGGCCTAGGGCTTTCCGGGGGCTTTTCGGGTGTTTAGGGCTCTGAAGGCCTAGCGCTGCGGAATGAAGGGTCCCTGAACCCTGAACCCCAGGGGCTTAGGGTTTAGGGTTCAGTTTGTTTTAAAACCCTAAACCCTAAACCCTAAGCCCTAAACCCTAAGCCCTAAGCCCTAAACCCTAAACCTTAAAGCCTAAACCCTAAACATCAGGCTTCGCAGCCCGGGCCACCCTAAATCCGGCTCAAGGCTCGCCGCTTTTCAGGCTTCAGGTCTTGAGGTTTCGTGTTGAAGGCCTCGTTTCAGGGTGCAGGCCTGAGGTGGTTTAAGGTTTAGGGTTGAGGGTTTAGGGTTTCGGGTTGAGGGTTCAGGCCTGAGGGGTTGAGAAGGAAGATTTGGGGTGGTCTACGCTGATCATCCTGATAGCTCTTTCGGAACCTGTTGCGGTCTCGGGCTCAAGGTTTCAGGGCGAAGTACCCGAGGCCCGAAACCCGAAACCCTAGGGTCTAGGGTCAAAAGGGTTTAGGGTTTCGGGTTTAGAGTTCAGGGTCTATAGGGTTTAGGGTTTAGGGTTTAGGGGTTTAGGGTTTAGAGCTTAGAGTTCAGGGTCTAGGGTCTATAGGGTTTAGGCTCGAAAGGGGTCTAGGGGCAAAGGCCTCCTCCGTAGCCGCCCATCATGCCCATGCCCATGCCCATGCCGCCGCCGTACTTTCCTCCGCCTGGCTCAGGGGGAGCTTTCGGAAACCCTAAACACCCCGAGGGCTAAACCCTCAACCCTAAACCCTAAACCCTAAACCCTAAACCCTAAACACCCAGAGGGCTCATGTTGGGTCGAACTGAAACACTGAAACAAAGGGAGCAGGGACTATTTTCGTCCGTTAAGAGCATATCCAATCCTAGGTTCTTTCTTGGTAGGAGCGTGTCTCTGCTGGCCTCAAGTGTAGGGTTTGATGTTTAGTGTTTAGTGTTGAGTGTTGAGTGTTGAGTTTGGAGTGTTGAGTGTTTAGTGTTTGCAAGAGGTTAGGGCTTATAAAGTACATAAGTTTTACTATAGCTTGGTATATATGCCAATGCAAGTGGCTGATTACAGGCTCCTCCACTGAGCACTAGAAAGATGTTGGGCTCTTGGCTTGGTGGTGGTGCTTGAGGGTTTAGGGTTTAGGGTTTAGGTTCGAAGCCTTCGGATCAAACAAATAATGACGCACAGAGTGAGAGAGAGAGAGAGAGGTCGAGCAGCCTGCGCGCACGACACGTACGCAATTCGAAAAGACGGAGCCGAAATACCCCTAAACCCTAAACCCTAAACCCCAAACCCTAAACCCTAAACCCTCCAACTGAAGCTAAAAACAAGATCAACAACTAAGAGCATGACCTGCACTTCTTCACGGGCTTTGGCTAGAAATTGAGAGTAAGTTCCAAGCTGACGCTTAGGTCCCATTGAGACTCTGCTCATACCCAGAGGGCCTCTCCTTATACGGGGCTACCATACTCCTGCAGCCTCAAAGGCCCTACCTCATACCCTTGGCACAAGCAGAATCCAAGGGTTTACATGGGTTTGGGGCTTTAGAGAGTAGGGCTTAGGGGGAGTTTTCGGGTTCAGGGAGGGTGGCTCAGGGGAGTTTAGCGTTCCCTACAGCAGATGACTCAAAGAGCCGCACTCCATTCTTGTACCTAACTCCCTTAAAAAATTGGACCCCTTACATACCCCGCATATACCCCTATACAACCCAACACACCCAGACTCCAGAACCCTGTAGAGGAGGTAAGTATATCTCTTTTAGACTGACTGTGTAAGTGAATTGAGGGGCTTAGGGTTCAGGAGGGTTTTTTCTTACGATTGCTTGAAGATTTCAGGGGAGATATGAATAGGGTTGTTGTTTAGACTTAGAGTTACTCTACTTAAAGCGCAACTTAGAAGTACCCATGACCCCTCAAGTATGCTTGAAGCCAGGGGGTATGCATGTAAAGGGGGACACCGAGGGGGTTATATAAGGGGTACACGAGGGACCTACCGGGTTCAGGCTTTAGGGTATACTTGAAGGTTCACAGGTAGTTACAACCACCCCCCAGCAAGGTATGCAAACTAGCATTAGACTTCCCACCCCAGCTATGGCTATAAACCTCCAGGTAGGCCTGAAAACCTTTTACAACCCCTTCTTACCTCTTCAAAGACCCTTTTCTAAACTCATGGCCCAGCCTTTTCCAAACCCGCCGCCTCCCTTGGACGGCGGAACACCTCGCATCGGACATGGTTGGGGCTAAGAGAAGTGCGCAGGTTTTTTGGGCTCAGGTTCTACCTGTGACTCCAAGGTCCCACAGATTTGCAGGTTAACGCCCAAATCAAGGGCATAACCCCCCTAATTCGACCCCGAAGGCCCTCCGCTGGCAACAACATACTTCGAGTGATCCCCAGCCTCCTAGCAGATGACATACAGGCCAGTCTTGTGCCTAAGAAGCCTATGAAGCCCGTAGAACCCTCAGGGTTCAGGGTTTAGGGTGGGCTTAGGGTTTAGAGTTTAGGGTTTGGGGCTGAGACCGCGAGATTCTTCTCCACATCTCAAAGTCTCAAAGCGTCACTGATTCTTCAACTTCTGACTTGCCTCGTGATTTTTCACACAGCAGGGTGCAGTAAGCTCCCATATTTCGACATGGCCCCTTATAAGGGTCACCCCCTTAATTCCTTGTCCAAAACCTCCATGTGGCGACCAAAAAAACTTCAGGCCATATTCAGATCAAAATCTCTTTGACCACATCGGATTCCTTGTTGTTCCGGGTGAGGTTCGCCACCGCGCCGTGGCATCTCGACTCCGCTTGGTTCACGAATCAAGATATAACGGCTGTGGTCGAGCCGCGGGCCGTGGCTTATTTACTTTGCAAACGTGCCACCCCACTCCGGCGACCGCCCCCCCTTCCGTTGCCACTTGCCCCACCCTTCCGACGTGGGCATTTCCAAAAATAGGGGGGGGGGGGGTTACCCTTGATATACCCCAAAAATAGTATAACTCTTCTTATAGGAACCCCCAATATAGTATAACTCTTTTTCTAGGAACCCCCCAGAAGGGTAGCCCCTCTTTTCGGAAACTCCACTTCTTGTCCTTCCCAGCACACAGCCACAGTCCAGCCCCTCACGACCCCCACGACCCCCGGCACAGACGTGGCCCGGTCCTTGGCGCTCAGGACCTCGCCCCATTTCACAGCGTAGAAAGGAGGCTTTAGGGTTAGGGTTTAGGGTTCAGGGTTCAGGTTTCAGGGTTTACTGCTTGACTCAAAGACTTTCCCTGATTCCTTGATGCGTGGCCACAGGAAGTCTCAGCTTGGTGGGATCCCAAAGCAAAGCTTTGGTCAGGCTTTGGTCCTTACAACCCCCCTAGGCCCTGAACCTCGGCAAATTCTTGGGGGCGCTAGTTTTTTCGAAGTCCTCTTCCGAATCTTTTGGGTTTAGGGTTTAGGGTTTAGGGTTTAGGGTTTAGGGTTTAGGGTTTAGGGTTTAGGGTTTAGGGTTTAGGGTTTAGGGTTTAGGGTTTAGGGTTGGGTCTCTTGAAGTTTCGGGTCCAGGGTTCAGGCTTCGAGTGCCAGCAAAGGACGAGTGTTGGCAGCTTAGGTGGTAAGAAGAGGGCTTGACGTGGGCTTTTCAGAAGAGGGGGTTTAGGGTTTTAGGGTTCAGGGTAAGAGGGCTTAGGGTTTCGGGTTTAGGGTTTTAGGGTTTAGGGTAAGAGGGCTTAGGGTTTGGGGTTTAGGGTTTGGGGGCTTGGGGAATAGGCCTCCTAAACCCTAAGCAAGAGATCGGAGGGAGGGTTTAGGGTTTAGGGTTTAGGGTTTAGGGTTTAGGGTTTAGGGTTTAGGGTTTAGGGTTTAGGGTTTAGGGTATAGGGTATAGGGTATAGGTTTTAGGGTTTAGGGTTTGGGGCTTAAGGTTTAGGGCTTAGGGCTTCGGGTTTAGGGTTTAGGGTTTAGGGACAGGAGGTGGAAGGCTCGCAACTGGGAGGAAGTAGGGCTTAGGGTTGAGGGTACCCAAAACCCCAAATGCCCAACACCCTAAGACCCCAAGACCCTACAACGCAATAACCCTAAAACCCGGAAACCCAAAACCCTCAAACCTAAGCCCTAAACCCTAAACCCTAAACCCTAAACACTAAACACTAAAACCTAAACCTGCTGTGCTCAAGCTGTGCTGGCCTTTGCTGCCCTCCTTCGTAGCCTTGCAGGGGTGCACTGCTTCCCTAAACCCTAAACCCTAAACCCCAAACCCTAAACCCTAAACCCTAAAAACTAAAGCCTACAGAGAGTACTTTGTGATGGTGTGAACCGTTAGGGATGACTTTGTGATGGTGCTACTTTTCGTCTATATGCCTTTTGGTTCTGAATGGCAGAGTAGGAATTCTAACCCTACACCTAACCCTACACCCGAAGCCCCAAGCCCCCACCCCGAAACAGAGCCAAGACCTCGCAGGGTGTTCCGCTTGGGAAGGTTGAGGCTTCAACTCTAAAGGTCAATTCTTGGGGTTCAGGGCTTATAAGGTTTCGGGTTCAGGGTTTAGGGTTCTTAGGGTTTAGGATTTAAGGTAGGGAGGGAGGGGGGGAGTAGGGTGTAAGGTTTAGGGTCCTTAGGGTTTAGGCTTTAAGGTGTAGGGA